GACCCGGCCCCCCACACCCCCCCCCCCCCCAGCTCCACCAGTCTAAGGACCTGTGACATCATGCCTAATGCAAGGTCCATTCACTTGCGTTAGATATGAGGATGCCAATGGACATACCGCAGCCAGAGGGGAAGAGGTGAGCGCTCACTGCCACAGGTCCAAGAATCGGGCAAGTGGTGTGGGTTTTTTTTTTCCCCCTCTATTGCCCTTAGACCTAAACGAGTAGCTAACCTTGCCGAGGTAGCTCCACTGCAAGGATTAATGTTTGCACATCCTGGCATTCTGCTTTACGCTATATGAAAATTCACTAGGCAAAGAATTTGCTTAGCTTAGTGAATGAGGTGAACTTGGCAGACATTAATCATCCAATCATGTACACACACAAATCCTGTTATCATTGGACATGATTTAGTGAATGATTTGAAAATTTACTTTGCAAAGAATGCATATTTGCTAAGATATGTTAATTAACTCCATTGTGACTAAATCTGGGATATGCCTAATTTTTATTTATATATTTTTTAGCCAAAAAACGAATCTGGCAAAACAGGTGAGCAGTGTTTTTTTTGGGGGTTTTTTTTGGGTTGGGTTTTGTATGTAGGTCTGCCCATCATTTTACAGATCTGTGGTAATTAAGAGGATTTGTTTTTATTGTAATAGCTCAGTCAAAGAAAAGACAGCGTGACGAAAGCTACAGTATCTCAGATGTCATGTCAAAAGAAGTAAGACTATTTTTATCTAACATAGAATAATTCCAATACTGCACAATATTCTAGTCATCTGACTTTCAAATCCTCTCTTCTGTAGGACATCTTAACTGCTTCCAAAAGATCCAAGCAGGAACCTGAGGTATGTGTGAATACATTGTATTATTTATAAGTAGTTTTACTTGTTCAATTCCTTACCCCCCTTTTTTTGTTTTTCCCCTCTACACCTATAGAATGAGAATTCTTCCTGCAAACTGACATCCGAAGAGATTGAGCAGATGGGAGATTCTAACACAGTAATTAAAGATCGCCTGTCGCAAGCCGTGAGGCACAGTGCTAAACATATGCTGGACCCAGTGAGGAAAGTAGATGGGCAGCCAGTTCCTTTTCAGCAGCCAAAGTACTTTACTGGAGGTGTGATGCGCTGGTACCAGGTGGAAGGCATGGAGTGGCTCAGGGTACGTTGGGCCAATACCATAGAACTGACGTTTTGAGGTGCTCATTATAAAATTGCGTGAAATATTTAAATGTTCAACTGACATATGTACATACTGCAGAGGTGTTGAATCTGGATCTCTCATGAACCTGACATGTTCATATGGATGTGAAGTGGGTTTTTTTTTTTTTTTTATCCTGGGTTTTGTTTAAATTATACTTTAATCTGCTTTCATGAACAGCCTTTGCTGTTTAACTCGAGTGAGACATGGCAGATCAGAGTATTGAATTCACCTGAATAAACATCAATGTGTGACTTGTATGGTGGAAGATGCTAACTACTGAACGGTTATCATGCTTTACGGCTCATTTACATGAGCCGGCATGCCAAATCTCTGGATGGCAAAAGTATTGGGTTACCAATGACCACAGGGTTCTTTTGGGGTACAGAAACAGTCTGAAATTAAAAATCCGAGGCACTGAGCACTTTTAATGTGTAATCTTACCAAAAGTCTTGTTTTGCCCCGAGCGTTTGCTGGCTTGTTTGTGTCCATATTCATATTTTGGCTTAAATGTTTGTTTTTCTAAAGCAAAAACATTTGTTTTTTCTTTCTACAGATGTTATGGGAGAATGGAATTAATGGCATATTGGCTGATGAAATGGGTTTGGGAAAGACAGTCCAATGTATTGCCACAATAGCGATGATGGTTGAAAGAGGTGTACCTGGACCATTTTTAGTTTGTGGCCCTTTATCTACTCTTCCTAACTGGATATCCGAGTTTAAACGTTTCTCTCCTGAGGTAAAGTCCTTTAATCTTGTGCTAAACTAGACTTGTATGTCTCTGTAGAGCCAAAGGAAATCTCTCCGCTCCAATGCCTTAGCCGCCATCAGGACTCCCCAGGTGCTGGTCCGATAGGTGCGTCTCCACCTTGGAATGTAGTAGTATATGAACAGACCTCACTATCCAGAGAATTCCAATACAGACATTCCTCGTGTTACGACTTGCCTGTTTTGCGACAACTCGCACTTGCGTCTGACCTTGCGTGCGGGATCGTGGCAGCGGCAGTATGACGTCTTGCCGGCGGAAGTGCTGTACTCCGTTGTTCACTGCAGGTCTCGGTGAGTATTTTCATTGCCCGATGTACAGTACACTGTTCAGTACTGTACATCTGCAACGCTATACACTACTGTACTAATGCAGTACATTACTGTATAGAGTTCCTCACTTAACGACCAATTAGTTGAATGACCTGGTCGTAGGAACGGAACTTGGTCGTTAAGTGAGGAATACCTGTACTTCAAACTTTATTGAAATTCACAGAAAATCCAGTAACAGTGAATTAGTGTATACATTGTATGTCTTGTGTAATATTGTGTATACTATGCTTGCTTCCTTTTTTCCTTTTGAAAGACGTGGTAGAATTCTGGGGAAATTTCTGGCCATTATTTAGGGATTCCCCTTAATTTTCAGCCGGAAATGGTACTATGGGCAAAATGCTGATGAGTACCGAAACAGATAAATTCAGTGCATCCCTAACTTCTCTCCTCCCTTCTGAGTGCTGGTCTGTGTCCCCTCTGCTCCCCTCCACTCTCCCCCACCTGTTAGAGGCAGTGGGGATCTGAGAGGAGAGAAGCTGTCAGAAGGGCAGATCTCACTGGCAGCAGTATGGGTGCATGCCTACCTGAATTGCAGCCTCCAGCAAGTCTAAGGGGGTCTGCTGGCTTCCCTCTCTCCTTCAGTGCCTGGCCAAGACCAGAACTGACAGATCTCCCATGGCTGGGCACCTGGAAACGAGTGTCCGCCGGTCAGAGGGGGGGTTCGTGCAGTTTCCGGGTCGCTGGGAAAAGTGTTCCATGGCCAGACCAGGTGACCGTGTACGTCACTTCCGGTGCGAGTGATGTCTGTTCCAGCTACCAAGGCCTTGTTTTGGCCTGACCTTTCATTTTGGTGCATCCCTACCATTAACCCTTTCACTGCCAGTGTGGTTTTTTTTTTGGACCCCCCCCCCTAATGTGGCCTCTGCACTCTTGAAGCTCACTGAGCACAGATTGTGCTCAATCAGGTTCTTCCTTGCCTGGGGAGGCCAGGTAATCACTGCACTGAACCTGGAAATGTCAAGAGCTAATTGCTTAGTGGCATTCTTCACAGGGAAGATCAGTGAATGGATGTTCACTGGTCTCCTGCTGCGCCCCATCTTGACACCAGTCATGATGATCTTGGGAACCCAGGAGGGACAGGTAGGCCTACAACACGGGGGGTAGGGGGGGGGGGGGTATAAAGCTGTACATTACAGCACATGTGGTAGTGATCAAGCAGCTTTACAACTACCAAAAGCAGTCTATCCACTAAGAAAATGTAAAGGCTCCCAGCTGCTATAAGTCAGTGCTGCTGCCAACTTAACCATTATGTCAGTGGCATTGAAGGGTTTAGTTGCATCCAAATACTGTGCATGTACCTCAGTTGTGTAGCTAAAGTACACAAGATTAGTGAATAACTTAATCGTCTCTGACCGCTGCTTAAGATGCTTTAACCCCTTCATGACTGAGGCCCTTTTTTCATTTTTTGCACCCATGTTATATTCCACATTTTAGGCCTGAAAATGACGTAAAACCCCCCAACATTATATATTTTCTGAATGCCAAGACCCTATAGAATAAAATGGTGGTAGTTGAAAATTTTTATGTTGCGCAATATTAGCGCAACTCCTTATTAAACCCCAAAATTTAGTGACAAATTTAATTAAATGCCCCAAAAAACAACAAATTACCCATTTTTTCAAATGAAATATAAAAGATGAGGTTACAACGAGTAAAACAATACCCAACATGCCCAGTTTACAGATTGCGTGCGAGCGTGAAACGGCGAAAAACTGCAGTACCCCAAAAAGTCAATAAAAGACGCTTTAAAAGCCCCCACAGGTCATCAATTTAGAGATACCCCAAAATACTGGCCCTAGAATTATTGCTCTCACTCCGGCGTGCGCGGCGATACCCAACATGTGTAGCGCGTTCGTCGTTTTCATGCGTAGGCGCACCCGACGCGTGTTTACGTGGCGACGCGCGTGCTCGCGGGGGCGGGGTACTTTTAATTTTTTTTTTATTATTATTAGATTTATTTTATTTCATTTTAATTTTAAAAACTGTTTGTTTTTTTTACTTTACTTTGACTGCTATCACATGGGGGGGCTTGCAAGCCCCCCCATGTAATAGCAGATGGTGGTGACAGGTCCTCTTTAAGGTGATGCTGGGGGTCCAAAAGACCCTCAGTGTCACCTTTACACTGGAAATAAGCTATTGAAGTGCAGATCGCACTTCAATAGCTTATAGCTGGGCTGCAGGAGCCCAGAACTGACAGCCCAGGGACCGGAAGTGATGCAATCTGCATCGCTCCCGGTCCCATAGAACGGGGAGGGGATCGATGAACGGAAGTTCGTCGACCTCCTCCCCAGCTCCCCGCGGACACAAAGATCGCCGGTCCCGGGCCCGTAGGAGGGGCAACGGAGCCCGGGAAGCACGGCGGGGCTGTCCGGGGGGGGGCGGCCCCTTCTTCGGGACGCAGAAGCGATCTGGCGACAGGTAAGTCTGTTTAAACAGCCCCGATGCTGGCAACGTACACTGTACGTCGTCAGTCACGAAGGGGTTAAACATAGCTGTTAACTGATCTACAGGTTGTCAAATCAAACATGTCTTCATTTCTAACCACTCACTAGGACCAATAAAATATGAAAGAGCTGTGACGCATTCTGGTCACAGTATGGGGAGAGGTACTCTGATGTGTGGGCTGTGATTAGCAGCCGGCTTCTCCTTCTCTGCTGTATGAGAGGAAAGATGGCGCTGCCTGCAGGTAGAATAACTGGGTTTCAGGACACGACATTGATCATGCATTAATGACTTTATAACCAGAATATTTGGCAGCAGTTTCTGCAAACATTGGCATAGGAAAGGGATGCTTCAAGTGAGAGTTTCTGCTCCTGGCTTCTATTTTATCCCTAGAAGGGTATCGTGTGTCAGTAGTGAGGACATATAAACTTTACAGTTCAGTATTTTTCCTCTGTACATAAATTCTAGTGTAAAACAAATGACTTTGCTCAATCTTATAGTTTGTGCCATTCTGAACATTTTGTCAATCTTCTTTTTTTTGCTATGTTCTAAAAAGTGATTTCTACATTGCATTGAAATCTACTTGGAAATAAATGGGAATCTGAAATGTATTGCAGATTCCAGTACTACTTTACCACGGCAACCCACAAGAACGACGTCGGTTAGCCCAAAAAGTTAATAAACGAGATGGGGCTTTGCAGATTTATCCTGTGGTTATCACATCTTTTGAGATTGCCATGAGGGATCGTCCGGTCTTACAGGTACTGTAATGTACAGACCCTAACCTATAAAGGTATAAAGGCTGTGTTTTGTGTGCATGTATAACTTTATTTTTTATGTGTAAATGTTACAGCATAGATCCTGGAAATACATGATTCTAGATGAGGGGCATAGAATAAAAAACATGAACTGTCGACTTATAAGGGAACTGAAGCAGTTTCGGTCTGACAACAAGCTGCTCCTCACTGGGACACCACTACAAAACAACCTAGCAGAGCTGTGGTCTCTCTTGAATTTTCTGCTACCAGATGTTTTTGATGATTTGAGAAGGTAACTAAATTGTGGCTGCTTGGATTCAACTTTTATTGGCTAATCACACAAGCTGTCTTTCTGACCTTTTCATTTTCCTGATCACCTTTAGCTTTGAAACCTGGTTTGATATAACGGGCATCACACAGAATGCTGCAGGCATTGTGGCCAATGAACGCGAACAGAACATTTTACATATGCTTCACCAGGTAATACCCTGTCCGGAAAAAAATTGGGATACCTTTTATGTGTAATATAAATGTGTGTGTGTGTGTGCTACCATATGAGAACAAAAGTAACATTTCCTTGTGTAACTGTATTTGTACTTTTTTTTTTTTTTTTTTATTCCTAGATCCTAACACCTTTCCTATTGAGAAGACTGAAAACTGATGTAACATTGGAGGTTCCCCCAAAGCGAGAAGTTGTAGTTTATGCTCCGTTAACAAAGAAACAAGAGGTGTTCTACACAGCCATAGTAAATCGGACCATTGAAAAAATGCTGGGACAGGACAAGGTAGTCACTTAGCTGTATTCTGCTCTGCTTCTTATCATTGATTTGGAAAAATTAGTCTAAATTTTCCTTAGCAATCCTGGCATGTTTAAATTTGCTCATGGTGTAGTTGGGAAGCATGGGTTTGAGTTTCTCATGGTGTCACGAATGTGAACGGTTGGTCCCTTTTTTCTAAATTGCTGAATTCATAAGCTTACTTGGTTAATCTTAATTTTCCAGTCCCCTTGCATATCGCAGATCTGTTGTAAATAAAGTACGCCACATTAAAGGCACCTTTGGTCTGTTCGGTGTAGAAATGGGTACACTCCATGGTGCATCTGGACATTAAAGATTATTAGTTTGTGTGTTTCTAGCGTTATCAGTTATGATTAAACCTGAGCATGCAAGAGGATGTGGTCTGTGTAAACTATTGCTTTCCTACTATCGGTCAGTCAAATTCCATAGAGTGTGGAATCCATGAAGTGAAAGAGTAAATGCTGGACTGAGGATCGCAAAAGCAGCAGTTACCTTTTGGCAAACAGATTATTCCATTGGAAAGATTCCATTGCTTTTAAATCGGCCCTTAGTTCAATAATAAGTGCGGTGATGGTATTTTGAGCAGA